GATTAATTCTTAGTCACCTCTCTCCTCAGCTGCCTGTTTGTTTGCTCCAGGAGCTCGCAGGCCTGAGAATAGAACGAAAACTAAGTTAGTTTTAGGTTTTTACAGGAGCTCAGAGGGGACAAAAGGCTGTAAACCCACCTGGTGGAGCAGGTCGGCTCTCTGCGTTTGTCTTTTTCGGCTTTTCTGAGCGGCCACCCTGTTCTTCTCCCTCTTCTTCAGCCTGCGTCCCTCTTCCTCCGAACTTTGCCACAGAACCCCCCCAACGCCGTCCGACATCCTGGACCAAGAGAGAAGAAAAAAAAAAACCCAAAACGGCTCTGTGTCCGGGGCTCCCAGGGACCGGCCGGAGAACAGGTCGAGGGGTTTCACATCAACTTCCCCACTGTTCATTTTCGCTGCCGTTTTTAACAGAAGTGGCCGCCAAAAGCTGTTCGCCAAAGTCATGTGACCCGGATCCCACCGGTCAAAGGAGGGTTTTTTAAAAAGGTTCTCCGGGACCAGATGATTTCGGGGCCGGTACCCAGATGTTTTCGCTGACTTCACATCAGTCCAGACTTAACCTCCTGAGACCCGAGCTTTTATTTGGCATGCATTTTAGCTTTTTTTTTAAAGATATATGAGATACATATTTAATTAAATGTTTTTACAATTTTGTTCTGACAGTCCCATTGACTCATTTACAGTTTTTCTATTACACAATAAGAACATGATTGGATGGAAATGTATAAAACCATTTTACTTTAGATTTCAAACAGTGTCTGATAGCATCTGCTATGAGGTCAAGAGGTCAAAGCTGAAAGAAAAAAAGAAGTATCATGGTAAAGAGAGACAAAAATGCAACGTCCTCTTATGAGGACACAGGGTCTCAGGAGGTTAACCAACCGGCTGGAAAAAGGCTCTTTGTCTCAGGAAAATAGCGAAATCTCAGAGTTTCCTGTTGATTTGCTGTAAGAGCCACAAAAAGTCCCTCAGAGCACAAAAAAACTGCAATTCTTCCGTCTGCAGGCCTGAAAAAAAAATCTGAAATGACACACACAGAATCTGCTAATGAAAACACTATTTATTTGGACCACTGGAACAGATTTACGGCTTTTTTTCTGACTCACAACCAACCTGGAGGTCAACAAAAAGGGCAAAGACGCCGTTTTTACAAGCTAATTAGGACGTTTTGCCTTTCTATTCACTCAAAGCTTCCAGTTTTTCTGCAGTCTCCCGTTTCCCTCCAAAATCCACCAGAGTATGTTTATGTTTATGTTTCTTTATTTGTCAGACGCTTTTATCCAAAGCGACTAGGGTTGTCAAAAGTATCGATACTCAAAAAAGTATCGATACTAAAACGTCGTATCCGGATACGATAATCATTTTTACAAGTATCGATACTTCCCCCTGTTGTTTATGATCATTAACGTGACGTTAGCCTTGTACTGCTAGCTGCGGCTAATGGCTAATAATAACACGCTACCATTAGTCAAGTACATATCCAACTCCGCCCACATCCAAGTCGGCCATTTTGATTAGGTCACCAATAGGAAGATCCCAGGCAAGAAAATTCTAATTGCTTCATGGCAATATAGACATTCATTTAAAAATAGTGAATTTTTAGAATTAAACTCTATCCATAATATTCAGTTAAAATAGTGGAGGTTAAATAGGTTTGTACAA